TTACCTAGGAGAGGCACCAATGAAGCAGGGCTCAAAGGGGTCGGGGTTAAGATACAAAAAAGGAGAAATTACTTCTGCCATAAATTCTAGGTAAGGAGTCTGAGTTTTATTTGGTAGGAAAGGGAGTTCTTAAGCCAGGGGATGGTGGTATGCAGCAGATTAACTGGGTAGTGACACATAGAAAGCCCGTGAGTGGAGAGCCAGCCAGGAATTGCTGCAGGAACTTAGATGTGAGGGGACTAAGGCCTCGCTGAAGTCAGTGGCATGTGGACTGGATGTGGAGGAAAGAATGAATCCAAAAGCTATTTCCCAATGACAGACTTGGTGAGAGATTGCATACACAAAACAGAGAATGGGAGTGAAGCAAAGGTAACTTGAATGTTTTGAACCTAAAAGACTACACCTCACTGCATGTCCATGGACACACACCTCACTGCATGGCTATATGTCTAGAGCTCACATTAGTGTGTGTGTGTTTTATTAGCGGTCGAGACACTTGGGGGTATCTGCCCAACTCCTGAGACCCCCCCGTTTTGCTCCCTCACAACAGGAGTCGGAAGCTCTTGACAAACATTTTGCATCATAACCCTACCCCCACTTCCAGCCACAGCTAATAAAACAGGGATGGACACCTGACCCAAAGTGGACCACATTTTTTCTCTTAGAAACTCAGAACGAGGAGTAAGAGTTAGGTTTCTGTCTCAGCTGTTTGCTGGCACTCAAGGGCCATAGACTTGGGAGGCACAGAGCAGCCGTCTTCCATCCGTCATGTATACAGAGAAGAGGAGAAATCCAGTCTGCAGGGAAAGAAGGATGCAGCAGAACAGAGGAAACAGGAGGCAGAGTCCCTCCTGATTCTGTAGCTTCACACTTCTTGGCCTCCAGGCCCTGTTGAGTCCCAGCTGCCTTTAGATTCCACATGACAGCCCAGGATCCATCAAACCAACTCCCCTGTTTGTTCAAGCTAGCTTGAGTCCGTTTCTGTAACTTTCAGTTTGGAACATTGACTCTGCTGTGTTTTACTGAAATACGGGGCCATGTGGAGGCCTGCAAGAAATCAGTTCACATTTTTTAGTAGGTAAGTTCCCCACTGGAAAGGGGACCTAGTTCTAGTGTCAATCCCCCCAGAAGCAGTAGGTAATGGGGACTATGATGACAGGACCTGGGTAGGAAGGGAGGGAGGTTGACCTTGTCCAGATATTAAGAGGTCTAGATGTCTAGGGCTGTGCCTTCATGAGAGACCAAGGAAGAAAGGAGGAACTCATGCAAAATCTCCTTTCCTTCCTATGGATGAACTCCAGATATGTTGTCTTCTCTATGTCTGGATCTGTTGTAGCGGGATATGGTTAAGAGCAATGGTCAGGCTGTCCTGGGTTCAAACCCAAGTTCAGTCTCTTACTGCTGGGCACACTACTCAACCTCTCTGAGACTCAATTTCTTGAAAATTAAGAAATAGGAGTAATATCTATCTCACAGAGTTGTGTTGAAGTCTCTAAGAGGGCCCAATAAATAGCACCCAACCTCTTCCCAACCCAAGTTTTGTACCACTTAAGAAATAAAAATGAAAGTCAGTAGAAACAATGTCGTCTTTATAATTGGTATAGACTACAGTGAACAACACTGCCAAGTATGAGTCAAAATGGGTTAAATAAGTCCATATTCCCAAAGAGACTCTTCACACCAGGGAAGTGTGAGTCCACAGAATGTACACACTGTCCAGGTTGTGGCCTCCCACTGCATGAGAGGAGACCCACCCTCAGAACCTCACACAACCAGGAAATGTGGACCAATGGCTGTCGCCCACCCAGCTGGTCACTGTGGGCAGCAGTGAGGACTGGGGCAAGAGACCACAAGTGTGGGAGAAATCCCTGTCAGCAGGCAGAAGGAGAGAAAAGGGGTTTCCCCACTCCATCTCCCAACGGAGACCGTCAGCCCTTGGTATCCATGGGCTCCACGTCTGCAGATTCAGCCCACCTGGAAAGGCCTGTGATGGCTGCATCTGTACTGAACATGTACAGACTCTTCTTGTCATTATTCTGTAAACAATACAGCATAACAACTATTTACATAGCACTTACCTTGTACTGGTTATTATAAGGAACCTAGAGATGATTTAAAGTTTACGGGAGGATATGCATAGATTATATGCAAATACAGTACTACACCGTTTTATGTAAGGGACTTGAGCATCCACAGAGTTTGGTATCCACCAGGGTCCTGGAACCAATCCCTGCAGATACCCAGGGACGCCTGTAGTTGCTGGGACTGAGTGAAATAATCCAGGCAAGTGACATCACATTCTATGGGTATCTAACCAAATCAAAATCAGCCATTCTCAGCAAGAGAGAGACATAATTGACAAGTTAGAACACAAGGGGTTCTGCCCACCATGGCACTGGATGGGTGCATATCTCAGGGAGATGTGAGATGGGATGTGTGGATCTGTAACTCCCTCACTCTGTCCCGTCTACCCCACCTCAGACAGGTTATGAAGATCTCCATGTTCTGGCCATGAATGCAGTATGGGCTGTTTCCAGTTTTTTATTATTACCAACATCACTGCTATAAACATTCTTGTATTTCTCTCTTGGTGCCCATATGTACATACTTCTGTATATATGTGGAATTTCTCATCCTGGGATTAATGTGTGTAGTCAGCTTCAGTAGATAATGCCAAACAAGTTTTCAGTGTAACAGTCCCACTCCTTGGATGTCTAGATATATATGCATGTGAGAACAGGGCTAATGTAAAGGGGTGGATAGACAGACCAAGCCCTAGGCTGGGAAGCAGCCCTCTGCCGTGGGAGGCAGCAGCTTTTGTCCAAAGACTGCCCCTGCCCTCCAACGAGGAAGTTCTCATCTAAGGGAAAGAGACGCAGAATGGCCTACCAGCCCTCCCTACCAGAGATTCTTGCAGTACCAACTCCAGGGATTCTGAGTGTCAGATTTTTTTGAGGAAAATGACATTTCCTTACATGTGTGGAGCTGGCTGGGGTTTGGAGAAGAAAGGAAGATGCAAGTGTGAGTGCAGAGAATGTGCCTATAGATGTAGATTTAGAGTTATTCGCATAGAGGCCCGACTGTCCCGAATGCAGGCTCCGTGAGAGCCATGCCCCTGTATGTCTTAATCTCCATGTATCCCAATGCCCTAGCCATACCTGCCACAGAGGCGAGCTCCATCAACACTTGCTCAGAGAATGAACAGGTTTCCGAAGAGCTGACTGAGGGACCGGTGGCCACTGCAGAGGGTATCAAAAGAGTGAGACATAGTTTTCCCCCCATGGAATCTGCAGCATCTTTGTAAGAGAACACAGAGTTGAAGGTGGATTTCTGGAAGACAGCATGGCAGACAGAAGGAGAATCAGCCCCAAGAGACTGACAAGGAGCAGCTTGGAGCGGAAGGGGGCAAATCAGAAGAGGGCAGTCACAGAAACCAAAACAGGGTCGCAAAGAATGGACGTTCAGCAGTAGTCAACAAACAGGAGGCCCCCGAAAGTAGCTTCTTAAGATAAGGCAGTTAATCTTTGAAGAAGCTATTTCAAAGAAATGCAACAATACAGGTCAGAGGAACATATGTGCATTGTATATATTATGTCATAATGACACATATACATAATATACATCCCATATTGTGAACAGGAAGCAAATGGCCTGTTTTCTGCTCAGGTAACAAGAACAGTTTGTCTGGTTAGCACATTGGGGACCACTGTAATTTGTTCCCCAAATTGGAAGATTCTTGTATTCTTCCTACATTCAGACGTAGTCAGACAACCTTTATCCTCAGAATGAAGTCAGTAGAAACCAGCTGGCAGAGGCCAGAGGGAAAAGAGAAAGACGTTGAAAACCAACTGTATGTAGGCACTTCACAGATAATTTCCCTTTGTGCTCACAACAATCTAGTTAGGCAGGAATTACTGCCCCCATTTTGCAAATGTGAAAATTCATGCTCATAGGTTAAGGGACTTGTTTGACAGCACACAGCCAGCCAGGGCCACACTGGGGTCAGCTGCAGGCCTGGCTCCCCTGGAGCCTGTGCGTCATTCCCACATCACGCCACCTCCCTGGCAGCTAAGTGTTCTTCACAGGCAGAGCGCCTGACGATGCTTTACACACTTCTCAGTGGTAGGGTTTTTTTTAAGGTTTAATTAATTAATTTATTTATTTATTTTTTGTGTGTGTGAGGGAGATCAGCCCTGAGCTAACATCCCTGCTAATCCTCCTCTTTTTTTTTTGCTGAGGAAGACCGGCTCTGAGCTAACATCCATTGCCAATCCTCCTCTTTTTCTTCCCCAAAGCCCCAGTAGATAGTTGTATATCATAGTTGCACATCCTTCTAGTTGCTGTATGTGGGACGCGGCCTCAGCATGGCCGGAGAAGCAGTGCATCAGTACACGCCCGGGATCCGAACCTGGGCCGCCAGTAGCGGAGCGTGCATACTTAACCGCTAAGCCACCAGGCCAGCCTTAAGGTTTAATTTAATTTTATTGTAATTATTATTATAACTTTTTATTTTGAAATGGTTTAAGACTCATGAGAAACTGCAGAAATAGCACAGAGAATTCTTGTGTATCCTTCACAGAGCTTTCCCCAATGATAATGTCTTCCATAGTTATAGTACATTACCAAAACCAGGAAATCGGTGTTGGTACAATATATTAACTCAGGGTTTTTCAGCCTCGGCACTGAGGTTTTAGGCCAGACAGTGCTTTGCTGTGGGCATGTCCTGTGCATTGTAGCATGTTGAGCAGCACCCCTGGCCTCTGCCCACTAGATGCCAGTAGCACCCCCTCCCAGTTGTGACCATCAAAAATGTTTCCAGACTCAGGGATAGCTTTTAAAGTACCAAATTGCTTTACATTCTTTATTCAAAATAGGACTTTGGGCTCAGCATTTTTCATATGTAACACATACAGAAAAATAAACATACAGCAGAGCAGCAAACAAAATGTTTTAAAAATCCTCAGAAGTGAAAAGACATTTCAAACCACAAAGATATATAACTATGTTTTTAAAAATCAAGGAGAAACATGAGGGCTGGGTTTTGACTACAGTAGTTCTTAGTTTAAATAAACACTATCAAAAATCACATTCACAGAAATCTGTTACTCAGCTCAAACATTCTACTGGGCACATTTCTCAAGCAAATCTTAAAACGGAGGTTAATGAAGTTATTTTCTCTCACAGTATTAGAAGGAACTGTGTAAAATTCCATGTAATCACATAAAAATCTACTATCTGAAATAGTGGCCCACGCTTGCCTCTGCTGCATGGCTGATAAAGGAGCACTCAGCCCTGTCTGGTTTCAGCTAAGAAGGGCAGACACTCTGCCAAGAAAAGCTGCTGCTCCAGCTCTGAGAACCACCCCCACCCCCAGGCAGGGCTGGGAACCTCATCAACTTCCTTTGGCAAGTCAGACCCCCCCACAGGCAGTATCCCTAGGAAGCTTGGGGGTTCCAGACACACACCTAGGTAAGCTACATTGCATTTTCAGATCTGGAGAAATGACTCTGGTGTTTCAGTGGTAGTACAGTGGCAATCAACCTTAACAACATCTGGCTCTGGGCTAACACACAGAAGTCAAACTCCATCGTTACTCTCCAAGGAAGCCATTGCACATTAGGTTGGGTCTCTGTGCCCCACAAACCTCTGCTATCATGTAATGGATCATGTATCATAGGTGTCTTTCTGCCATTGCCTCTGATGTTCGTGCCTACAGAAAATGATGCTGAAGCATTTGAGAAACCCTTGGCTGCAATAAGTTTATCTGGACAGTGAAGACTATGAAAGATCTTCTGAACCAACCGGATGGGGTAGAGTCAAAAGCGAAGGCTCAGAAAGCTATGCCTTCGACCTCACAGCCATCAGTGCCCTCCTGCCCAGACCAGGGTCTGCAGGGGTGGGGAGGACACACCACAGCCCAGGGTGGAGGCCCAAGGCAGGCGTTTCATCCTCCTCCACCTTCTCACGGCTCTAGATAGTGGTGGGTGGTGCTGGGGAGGGGCAGCCCCTGGCCTCAGAACTCAATGCCTTTACAACCCATTTTGAAGGTGGTGCTTCCTCTGCCAGAAAAACCAGTCTTTCAGGGCATGTTGCTCCAATACACAAATTCATGTTTAATGACTTTCTGGTAAACAGCAAATTCAGAATAACTCAGGATCTAGTCACAGAAGCAACCTCTAGTTCAGATTTTGGGGGGTGGGAGGCTCACAAACCTTTCTAAATGTGTACTAAGTTATTTTTTTTGCAAAAGAACATATGTATTTCATTGTTAAGCACTTGTCTACAATTTAACATCCATTTATATCTGCAATTATCCATTTAATATCAATTTTTGATATCCCAGAGACCTTCAAACTCAATTAGATTTATAAACTTACAATCCTCATACAATAAATGGCCAGCCCTAGTGTCTAGTGGTTAAGATTCGGCACTCTCACCACTGTGGGCCAGGTTCATTTCCCGGTGGGGGAACCACACGACCCATCTCTGGGTTGTCAGACTGCAGTGGCTGCATGTTGCTGTGATGCTGAAAGCTATGCCACTGGGATTTCAAACACCAGCAGGGTCACCCATGGTGGACAGGTTTCAGTGGAGCTTCCAGACTAAGACAGACTAGGAAGAAGGACCCAGCCACCCACTTCCAAAAAATCTGGCCATGAAAACCCTGTAAATAGCTACGAAGCTTAGCATGGTCTGATACAGCCTGGAAGGTGACAGGATGACATAAAAAGACTGGGCAGGGTTCCACTCTGCTGTCCACAGGGTCACCAGGAGTCGGAATTGACTTGACTGCACTAACAACAACAACAACAAACAATACAATAAATGGGACTCACTAATCTTGGGGTCTGCAGTTAATTGTGACATGGGTGGTGATATACAGGCTTTGGGGTTTTCTGGCTGAATGTCAAAAACAACACGCCTGAAGTCTGTGCATAAAAACACAACTGCTCCTTAACCAGACTGAAAGGAACATACAAATGGAATGCTCTGGACTATTTAAAGTGGTTCTGAGTATAAACTCACATTTCTTTTCAAATAATGTAAAAATTAGGAAAAAACCTAACTCTCTCCGAGAAATAGCAACCTCTCTCACCTACTTAGGGTATAAAAGATGCCGCTTCAACTGCACCAGAACAGCCTCCTGCTAACAGGGGTTCTTTACCCAAAGATGTCAAGGGAGGAGCTGAACCCACATATCCTCCAGAGAGCACTGCAAGGTGGCCCCTTCAAAGACTGTTAGTTTCCTGTGACCATAAACTTCTCATCTGCTGGAGTAGAGGCTTCCTCAACATAGCATGTGTGTAGCTATTGGTAGAAAAGCCATTTGCAGGATGTGCTCATGAATTTTTCACCTTGGAGATTAAATGTTTCAAGCTTAGCTCACGAAAGCCACCTGCTTTCAATCTTTATTCAATTCAGACTTTTAGACCGAATTTCCCATTTCAGGATACATTAGGATGCTGTTGACTTTCCGTGGGAAATGACTTGAGGTAACAAGTTTCAAAGGACCTGCACAAGCCAACAATATGAAGGGGATGAATGAGTACAATCAGGGAGAAATTATACTGCTTTAATGTCTTTAAATGTAAGTTACTCTAAAATAATTTTGCTTTACCAGAGATATTTGTATATATGTAGATTTCCCAGTTGAACTCGCTCTGAACTGGTGACTTAAATAAAATTCTACTATTCTATTAGATTCACTAGGCAAATCTCACCAGCACATCTTAAAAGTAAGCCCTTGATCTTTGCCATCTCAAAAATCTACATTCAGCTGAAACATGACTCTGTTCTTTCCTAGCCAAAATTGGTCAGCTCACAGACGGCCAAGGTCAAAGAACTAAACTCCACAAAATGCAAAGTCTACCAAAAAGATTCAAAGGAGTTTGAATCCTAATGAGCCTAAGTTATAGTATTTAGCACTCCACCAACCAGCCCTTGGAGGATTAAAGGACCATTTAGGCCTGCATTCTAATAGTCTCCTTGATCAGCTAAACGGAGTCCAGAGAGGAAAATGAAAATATACCAGGTCACCTAGCAGAATGTGTCTATTATGTAGTCTGGAAGAGAAACCAGGGACAGCCTCTCCCAGCGGGCTTCCAAGCACTGGCCGGCTGATCTACAAGATGGCCAGGACCACTCTGTAGGAGGAAAGGCCAGGTCACTGGGCAGAGCCCAGGTTGTCAGTTTCCACCTGCTCCCAGCCCCTGCCCCTGTGACTTCGAAGAGCACATCCCCGATCCCTGGAAGACCAACCAGGCCTTGGCATCATGGGGCTTGGCTGGGCAAAGGTTGGACTGCAAACAGCTCACCGTTTGTGGCGGTTGCTTGTTAAGTTACACACATCGTGGTGCTCTCTTTTAACCTACAAACCTGTGTCCCACTGCATGAACCAAAAATGCACATTTGATTCAGTTCCGTGATGCCACATCCCATTTCCTCCCAAAGGCTGTTTGCACTCCTGACAAAGCACACGTGACACAGATCACAATACCCCAGGTGGCTCCAAGCCACACGCTCTTAAGAAACACGAAACTGAGTAAGGGAATGAAAAAACTAGCATGCTAAAATATGCAAAAACTGGCGTGCTAGAAAGCAGAAAGAGGGGAAAGTCATGAAATAATGCACAAAGAGACCAACACTAAAACTCCAAAACTGAAACAAGCAGAAGGCTGTGCTTCGCTGTGAGCTGACATCCGTGAAGAGGCTCAAGAACCACAGCGTCACGGGGGAGCCCACACCCCTGGTCAGGGCGGAGGGAGGGGCCCGGCAGGCGAGGGCGTGGTTGGACGGAGAGCCCACTGAGCACCTGATGGGAGAAAGTTGCCCTGCCCCTGCAGCCGAGGTTCGTGGACAACTGCCCCATGGCCAGGTGCTGCAGGAAGGCTGCCTGGGCTGTGACCCTGCTGCCCGTGGACAGAGACGACTCGGTGCCCCCAGAACTCAATGAGCTCCCAGAGTCCAGTGCCCACTCCCTGGAGCAGGATCCTGGCCTCCCTAAGGTAGGTCTCGGAACCGCCTGGTCACCTTGCTTCATAAACCTGGGGGCTATGAGGGGAAACTTCCATACAGACAGCTACATTTCCAGCTACTCGTCTGAAACTCTTTAGATAGGGAGACATTTCATTCAACATTCCCTGAGCCAGTGACCTGAGGACCTCCCTGCCCTAAGGAAGAAACTGGAATCTCTCTCCGAGTCATTAAATGAACTGAGCAGAACTTTGTAATCACTAGAGCTGGGCAAGATGTTTAAGCTATTACATTCTGAAGCAGAATGACACTCACTCACCCAAGTTAAGGTAAATATTGCAAAAAAGCAACAGCTGCCTTGTGGGAATTCTGCTTTTAGGATGAGTGTGTAAGTTTTCATCCCATTCAGGAAATACACTATTAAATACTTCCTTACTCTAATCAATATTTCCCTTCCATTGAAACTAACTTTTCAAAAACAAAACCTATTTTAATTTCCTTACATTTCTTTACAAAATGTTTGCTATCATCTACAATGAAAATCTGGCACTTTATAAAATAAAATTGACGTTTAGAAGATTGCCAGTTCTAGTACTTAGGCTATAACCAAGTGCAGAAAGACTGGACTGTTCAAAATACTTCACAAAATTCTGAACCTTAGAAAAGCCCTTCTCCAAGATTTGTGGGATAGCAAAGCTAGATTTTCTTTCCTAAAAGCCATGTTTGACATTCATTATCTTAAGAAATAAGTATTTTTAAAATTCATTGTTTGAATTCTAAAACATACTTTTGAAAATCAACAATGGTTTTTATAAGAATAAAAAATTTGCTGTACATACCTCTTAAAAATCCATTTCTTATCTATTTTAGTCTAGATTTAATGGGTTAGCATTTTAAAGGACACCAGACAAGAGGATCTCTATTTTGATCACTATATCGGTCAATTATATTTGATCAATATATATTATATATCATTATATAATCCAAAGCAATTCAAAATAACGCATTACCATATAAACCAGCGTTTCAAACTGTTATAGGCTACATACACTATCAATATTTTTCAACTAAAATGTATTCACAAATACACAAGAAAAATATAAAATGTATTTATCTGTTATTATTATGCAATGCACTTTTTAAAAAAATACCTGACATTGCATGAAAAGTCTTGATTGCTTGTGTATTCAGTAACAGAAAAGTGATGTCATTCTAATAATTTCTTATTTTATTGTTATGAAGTTTTTTATAAGCATATGTGAATTACATATTCATTATTTCGACATGACCATTTTTTGGTCTGCTTTGCTCCAAGTGTAAATTATAATTCATTAACTTCTGAGGGCTTTCACTAATAAATTATTTAAAAAATTTTCCATGATCAATTACCTTTGACAAACACTGCTATAGTAAAAAGAGATGTCTCCAAACCAGAGTTCAAACTAAATACTTATAGCTTAAGACATCCCATTTTGAGGTGTGGAAATATTTGGCAGTTTTTGTAGCTTGTTGTTAATTCAGAGAGGTACTATATTTCAGTTGCACTGATTTATTATTATTTCTTTGATGAAAGAAGGCAGCAGGTAGATTCCCCTCCCCACTACAGTAATAATCGTACATTTGGCGTCTTAGTGTTTATTCTAACCTTTTTTCAGTGTTCTAGCCTATTTACGTTTACCCAAAGGTTTATTTCAAGTGGCAAATTTTACTAAAAGTTTAACTGCTTTATTAGGTATAACTCTCAGCATATAGTGTTAAAAAAAATACTACTTCTCTAGAGCAGAGGTTGGCAAACTTAGCGCTAGATAGTAAATATTTTAGATCTTCCCATATGGTCTCTGTTGCATCTACTCAACTCTGCTCTTATGGCAGGAAAGTAGTCATAGGGAATATGTACATGAATGTACATGGCTGTGTTCCAATAAAACTTTATTTACGGACACTGAAATTTGAATTTCATACGATCTTCGTGTGTCACAAAATAGTATTCTTTCAAATTTTTCCAACTGTTTAAAAATGTAAAAACCATTCTTAGTTCTCAGATCCTACAAGAACACGCTTCAGGCTGAATTTGGCCCATGGGCTGTAGTATGCCTACCCTGGTTCCTATAGAGCAACAGTGAAACCATCCCTCCTTAAAGAGTACCACTCCAAAACAAAATGATTGTACTAGCCATGTGCTGGAAAATATGAAAACTAAGGAAAGATAAATGACCAAGGGACAACCAAAGTGTGAAGAAATCAAGTCCTCACCCAAGATGCTCGCCACCCTGCTTACGCATGGCCACCTCATCCTGGTGTCCACAGCCATCAGCAGTGAGTGAAGAAGGCGGACCAGACCCTGTGCCCACAGTCCTGCCCATGCAGGGCACCCACCTGGTTCTGAGCAGCCTTTGCTTGCTGGGCATGCTTCATCTATCAAGTCACCACAACTCGCTGTGGCTCCGGGTGGGGCAGAAAGCCGCCTTTCCATCCCCTATCTTCGGTGCTTGGAGTCCAGCCCTGAGAGTCCAGCTTCTCTGACTCCTAACAGCCCAGAGGAGTCTAGCAGCTATTATGTGCTCTGCCTACACAAAGGGGGTTGGGGGCCAGTGACCTGCTCTTGAGGCTCACAGCCAAGGCCTACCAGATTACTCCGGCATTTCAATTCACCAAGCATCTTATTTTGGCTGGGGACAGAACACTTTTGCCTAGTATGGGAAATCTGGGCTTTTCCAGATCAGAGAGGAGGGGTGGAAGAAAGGAAATCTGGAAATACGTTAACTATTCAAGTTCAAGTGCGCGCACCATTAGCTGAGAAAGATCGCCGGACTGCCAAGGCCTCCTCAACTCCCAGGAGCTGAAATATAAGGCACAGCGTAAAACGGTGTGCAAGCGGCCTTTACTTTTTTAAAGAACATTTGTACACAAAGGCACAAGTAAATAACGTCAAGTTTGGGCAAACATCTCCCAGATCGCAGTTAAGAGAAAAGGACAGCCTGGCCAAGGCCCACGGGGTTTTCTCTGAGAAACAGGCCGCTGTGCGGAGGCCCCCGCGGACGCCCACAGCGCAGTGCCCTCCTTTGGCACCATGTGGCGGGATGCTTCGTCCTTTCCCTGAGACCTGAGGGGTCTCCAGCAAGCCGCAAAGGCTAAAACACGACGTCTACAGTTAGAAACAAATCCCAAGGTCTTACAGCTGTGCTCAGGAGCCAGGAGGCTCTTTCCCGGAAAAAGCTATTGCTCGGAGTCTTGAGGATTTCTTCCCATTCCGACGCGGGGCGAGAATTCCAGAGACTGTCTGGGAAGGCCTACACGACGAGAAAACCGGCTGGGGAGGTTCGGTGCCCAGGCTCACCATGCTTGCGTGCAGGGTCTGTCTGGGTGCAAGGTTACAGTTAAGCGGCTCCCTCCTTTTCTTCCATGCTCCCCTCACTCCAGGTGGACGGCGCTCAGCAAAGCGTCAGGGCAGGTCCCTCGGGCGCGGCCCTGTCTCACGGTCCCTGAAGCGCTCCGGGTCCCCTGGGGGCCCCGCCCCTCACTCACAGCGCGTCCGCGGGGCGCACGTAGCGCAGCGTGTAGTTGGCGCCCGCGTTGTTGTCCCAGTACTCGCCTTGGGCGCAGCGGTAGCAGACAGCGAAGTGGACGGCGACGCCCGGCGCGTCCGCGTCCTCCCCCTCCTTGGGCTGCAGGCCGGGGGGCAGGCACAGCGAGAAGTGGAAGCGCTCGGCGCCCGGCTCCTCCTCGGCATCCCCAGGCCCGGGATCCCCCGACGGCGCCCCTGGCTCCACTGGCTCGGGCTGCAGCTCGGCCGGCACGTCCAGGAAGGAGCGCCACTCGGTGAAGGTGTAGCGGACCGCCACGGTCCGCGGCCCGGGGCAGCCCAGCACCCGGCCGGAGCCTGTCACCTCCGCGCCAGGGAGTGCCGAGCAGTGCACGCGCTCCAAGCACACGCGCTGCCGCCTCAGGCGCTCGGCCGCGGCGCCCGGCTCCGGAAGCTGGAAGACAGGCCGAAGCCGGGGAGGCGGCGCGGAGAGGGGCGCGGCCGCCGCCGCCGCGGCCAGCAGGCCGGGGAGCTGCTCCAGGTCCTCGGCGCGCATGGGGAAGCTGCGAAGGCGGGAGAGCACGGCCGGCGGCACCTGCGGCTCCTCGGCCTCGCTGAAGTGCTTCACGCTGGCCAGGCTCAGCCCCAGCGCGTCCGCAAACTGCACCCGCTTCTTGCACTTGGCACAGCAGCCGCCGGGGCCGTGAGGCACGCCCCCGGCCCTCCGGCCGCCCTCCGCGCCGAGCCCCAGGGCAAGCTGCTGTCGCTGCTGCAGAAGCTTCGCCGCCTGCAAGATCGGGTCGGCGGGTAGGGAAAAGGAACGCGCGCGGCGGCGGCGGCGGCATTCCAGCAGCTCCTCCTGCTCCCGGGGGGCAGCCTCTTCCGTCGGGGACAGAGGCTCAGCGTCGGGGCTCGGGGCCTCGGATATACCGCCGCCGTCCCCGCCACTCTCCATGCAGGGAACCCCCGGGGTAGGCAGCTCCTCAGCTGGCGGGGTGTCTCCACAGGGTGCAGGTCCCTGCGCCTCCAAACTCAGCAGCTGCGCCTCCTGGGGCTCCATCACGCCGTCTGGCCCCAGGACTTGTCCGGGTCGCGAACCCACGGCTCAAGACTCCTCTGGAGACTTAACGCCTCGGGTCGTTGCAAGAGCGCGCAGCACCCGCCCTGGGCTCCAGAGGAGAATGCGCTTCCACTGGGGAGCCTCCGGGTTTTAGCGGAGTGGGAGGAGGATGCGGGCCTGGGGACGGCTTGAGCGAGGCGGTCTCGGGATTGAACCTGCCCGCGGCGGGGGAGGGTCCAGGGGGGAGGCGCGGGCCGCCCTCCCGCTACCTGGCGCGGCCGCGGGAACACCTGGAAGCGAAGCGGCGCCGGATTAGAGCGAGTGGTTGGGGTTCCCAAATGCTCCGGCAGAAAGGGGGAGCCGGCTTTCTGGAAGTCTGGGGCTCCCTTTTCCTTCCCTCCCAGGCCCGCGGGGCTCGCGTCGGTCCCGCCTCCGGAGCTCCAGGGAGAACTCGCGCTCAGCTTTCGTGGACACGGGCTTGAACAGTCCTCCTCCTGCCCGTGAAGTTGGCCCCCAGGTCCTGACGGGTCGGCCCTCGGGGGTCGCAGAGCGGGCTCCTCCCGGCTGTCGCATCGGCCCAGGAAGTCTCTGGGCAGGCGCGCAGTTGAGGACAACTGGCCTGCAGGGCAGCTGGAGGCGGCCGGGCCGCGCGGACGAGAGCGTGGAGCGCCTCCCTCTTTCTCTTCCTTCCTTCCCCGAACTTCAGGGCGCCCCGGGCTCCAGTCCCGCTCGGAAGCCTGACCCCGCGGCGCGGAGTGGGCTTGGGCCGAGTGTGGGGCGGGGACGATGCCAGGACGCGCGGAGGAGTGGACACGGCCGCCAGCCGAGAGCTGCCGGAGGCCATTCGCGCGGGCCCCGGGAGCACGTCCCCGCTCCTCCCCTCGTCCCGCCCGCCGCGGCTCCGAGCTCCGGGCCAGAGGAGAGGGGGCCCCGCGGAAGAGGCCCCCGCGCCGCGCGCACTGCCTCCCACCGCGGCCGGACACGGCGCCACAGCCCCTAACGCGCTCTCCTCGCCTCCCGGAGAGGGGCCCGGCTCGCGCTGGGACTGCAGGGTCGCCGCCCTGCTGACCCGAGGCCGCGAGTCCCTCCCGGGTCTTCGTGGGAATGCGGAACCTGGGGATTGGGGGGGGACTTCCAGAAGTGTGTTTTGTTGTTGTTTCGTTTTGTTTTTAAGGCTAACTTTACTTTGAGCCAAGTTAGTGATTCTCAAAACTTCAGCGCGCATCGGCGTCACCTGGAGAGGTTGTGGAAACATTGCTGAGCTCCACCCTGGAGTTTCTGAGTCGTTAGGTCTGGGATGGGCCCTAAAGTATTCTGATAGGGGCATTCTGATGCTGGGCTCTAGGGACCGCATTTGAGGACTACTGATAAACCTATGTGCACATGTGTACAGTTACGTGTATACAAAGTTGTGGATTCTAGAAACATATCTACTGTTTCATAAAAAATAAAAAGCAAAGCCAGCCTACCAGGTCATTGAACTGAGGCATAACAACGAAAATGCCTTATGGTCTGGCAGAATTGAAAGGGGCCAGTGCTTTAGGCGTTTAGGTGTGGGGACAGGTAAAAGAGGTGGTGAGTGGGGGGTAAGGGTCCTGTTCATTAACAGGACCAATATCGATTGAGCGCGCAACAATCAACAGTGTGGAGGGCTCCCCTTGCATGGTCTGCTTCTCAGAACAGCTCTGTGAAGTAGGAGTCATCTATGCTCCTCTACACATGGGACATAAAGGTGTAGAAGACTTTCCATTGCCCAGGCCTCACAGCTAGGTTGTGGCAGGATTTGAACCCAGGCAATTTAGAGGGAAGTTTTCTCCACTAGCTACTAAACTAGGGCTGGAGTGGTGCTCACGAGGAAGGGGCTCTGCCATCTGCTTGCTGCGATCCTGCGGGTCCTCTCATGCCCGGTTTGGAACGCTGTGAGTGCATCTCAACTTGGGGGCTTACCGGAGGCACCATATACACCTGGCCTGTCTCCCTGAAACAAATCCAAGATTGGGGAAGAAGATATTGTTTTTACATTTAAGTGAACATTGATATATTTTTTGAGTTAAATACAAAATTTGTAAACTATTTTAAAGATAAACTAGGTCTTCAAAAAGATTTTGAGGTTGTGGTGACCCTTGGGGCTACAGCCCTCATCAGGGCAGGTGCCACCTGCAGGGGGGGGACCGGAGGGAGGTGAGGCGCCTAGGGAACGGAACCTAAGGAGGCATCACTCTCAGGGTTATGCGTGCCATGGTCCCAGCCCTGTCCCACTCTCCTCTCTTTGGTGGAAACGTTAGTGGTCCCCACCTTCGTGAAGCTCTCAACATAGTGGAGGAGACCGACATTAACCACAAAGTCACACACGCAAATGCAGAGTCAGGCCACTTGGGCAGATGCTAAGAAGGTGGGATCCAACCTGGCCGGGGAGGCCTGGAAGGCCTCCATGCGGAAGGCGAGTGGTAGTTAACCGACAGGGCTGCAGGGAGGAACATTTCAGCCCATACGAAGGCCCTGTGGGGAGGGAATGTGGCAGAGTGGGACTGAAAGAAGGCCTGTGTGGCCCAAGGGCAGAGAGCAGGAGGCGATGGCAGAGCTGAGGATGGAGGGTAGGGAGGAGCCAGCCATTCAGGGCTGTGAGCAATGAGAATGAAGGATTTTGAATCCCAGATGTGACTAACAAATTCGAGTTTGGAAAGATCATTCTGGATGCAGGATGAAGGGCAGATTGTGGAGGATAGAGGAACTGTGGGTGAGCCTGTTAGGAGAGGAGGGTAGTCTTTCAAGTGAAGGGCGATCATACCTAGGTTGAGAGTAGTGGAGATGGTGGTGGGGTGGACAGATCTGAGAGGTGTTTAGGAGCAAAAACCAACATGACGAGCTTATGGATCCATATGGGGGTCATTGGGGGGAGGAGGTGCCTTTTAGGATTTAGACATGAGCGGTTCCATAGAGGCAGGAGCAGTCCCTGGGGTGGCGACCACCAGAAGAGGCGTAGAGGGGCCGGCCCCGTGGCTTAGAGGTTAAGTGCGCACGCTCTGCTGCTGGCGGCCGGGGTTCGGATCCTGGGTGGGCACCGATGCACCGCTTCTCCGGCCATGCTGAGGCTGCGTCCCACATACAGCAACTAGAAGGACGTGCAGCTATGACATACAACTATCTACTGGGGCTTTGGGGGAAAAATAAATAAATAAATAAAATTAAAAAAAAAAAAAAAGAGGAGTAGAGGGAGGGCAAGATGGTGAATTCCATTTTGGGCAGGTTGAGGATGGTGGGTTTTTGGCTTCTTCTGACACCCTGCACCACCTGGGTGTCCAGCAATTCAAACCTGACTCTACCCACCTGGAGTTAGTATCAGATCCCACCAGTTAAAGGGCTCACTCCCACAAGACTGGCCCCAATTCAGGTGCCAGTTGCAAATGGTGTGCCCAGGCCACCACACTTTGGTCCAGCCAACTTTGGGGGTTCCCACAATCCCCCCACGGGTTTGATAATCCACCAGAATGGCTCACACAACACAGGTGAAGGTGATCAGAGTATGCTATCCCAAAATATGCCACTTTGCATAAGGATTATTTTGACCAGAAGAAAATTAAGAAACAGCAGACTCAAGAGGAACTCTCTGTCCTCCCACCTTTTGCCTAAAAAGCAGGGCGTAAATTTCCCTTTGTAAAGGTAATGTAAATTTCCATTTGTAAATTTGTCTCCTTCTCTTTACCACAGATGACTATCATCACTGGAGATGACACCAACTTGAGTCTGCATAACCTTACTAAACCTAGTAACCTACATAAACCTTACTAAATAACCCTTATCATCCATTAGTTTCTTCCATATATTTACCTCCCCACAACTACTGCTGCTAGAAGCTCAAACCCCTTTTCCTTTGTCTTGTCGCTTTCCCAAAATTTATCACCCTTTGTCAAAATGATATATAAGCTCCCAGGCCTAACAGCTTTTGTGGTTTTCACTTCTTTCTTGTGAAGCTCCCATGTGCATATGAAATAAACCTTTTCTCCTGTTAATCTGTCTTTGTCGGTTTAACTTGCAGGTCCTAGTCACTGAACCTAGAGGAACAGTTTTTCCTCCCCGACGCAAGAAAACACTTTACTTCTGTTTACCAGATTGTTATACAGTATACAACTCAGAAACAGTCAAATGGAAGAGATGCATGGGGCAAGGTGTGAGAGGAGGAGCGCAGAGCTTCCATGCCCTCTCTGGATGCACCAGCCTCCCAGCACATCAATGCGTTCAACAACCTGGAAGCTCTCCCAAGCTTGTTCAAGAGTTTCTGTAGAGCTCAATCTCCAGCCCCCTCCCACTGCCTGGAGGTTGGTGGGTGGGGCTGAAAGCTCTCCAATCACTTGGTCTTTCTGGTGACCAGCCCATCCTGAGGCTATCTAGGGGTACTATCCTGTCACCTCATTAGCATAAATAGGTGTGATCAAAAGGGGCTCATAACCAAAGACACTCCTGTCACTCAGGAAACTCCAAGGGTTTCAGGAGCTCTGCCAGGACTGGGGACAAAGACCAAACCCGTATTTTCGCTACACCACAGTAGGATACACAGGGCTAGAGCTCGGAGGCGGAGAAGCGCCCAGGACTGAGCTTCCAGCAACTCTGACATTTGAAGGCCAGGAGGAGAGGGTGAGCCTGTAAGGGGACAGAGAATGAGCAGCCAGAAGTGTTGGAGGAAACAGGGGAGAGCTGTTCTTCAGAAGGCAAGGGCTGACTTCAGAAGCAGGAGAGATGAGTGCTGCCCTTGGGGCCCATGGGGACTTTGGGACCCTCTCCCTCGCTCCTGAAAGGTGGGGACACGATGGTGATCTCTGCCCCCCCCCCCACACACCTCTGCTCTGGCACATCAGGTGGTGCAAACGACTTCTCTCCCAGGCTCACTGTCCTTCGAGTTTCTACCTGAGACAGGGCCCAGGTCTTCTCTTCTCCGGGATCTGGATTCCTAAAGTTAATCGTTAAATGATGCAGCATGCAAGATAACTTTTTGAAATTTAGCCCACATAGTCCACCCCACTGAAATGTGTTTAGTCCTATCAAATATCATGTACCTCAGCTGCTAAAATATTTACTCCAGGCATTCAGAGGCTCCTAGCTTTACCATCAGCTCTGGTTACCTATTGCTACATAACAAACTGCCCCAGATGTAGTTGCTTATCAAAAAAACAACAGCATTTCTTTTGTGCATGAATCTGCAAGATGGGCAGGGCCCCCTTGGGGACAACTTGTCTCTTCTCCATCTGCGGCAGCTTGAAGGCTGTGCCTGGGATCATCAGATCCCCGGGTCTGGTGCCTGGGCTGGGGAGACCCCAACAGCTGGGGCTGGAACCACTGGTGCCCTTCAGGCGTCTCTCTGTTTGATCTCTAGCGGGGTGGCTTCCGGGCAGCCAAACTTGTCACCTGTTTTCTCTGGGAGAGAGAGAGACAGAAGCTGTATCCCTTTTTATGGCCTAATCTCAAACGTCTCAGTGTCTTCTGCTACATTTTGTTCCTTAGAAATGAGTCGCTAAGGCCAACATATTCAAAGGGAGAGGAATTAGATTCTACCTTTTGATAGAAGAGTGTCCAAGAAATTGCAGGTGTGTTTTAAAACCGCTATCCTATGATAGAACAGGACAAATTAGAAAGGGCCCAAGAGAGCGCAGCTAGTTTAAAGCTTGAATTTTTCAGATGTGCAAGCTGAGGCTCAGAGAGGAAAACGGAGTAACTCAAACTTTTCACTCAAGGCAAGAATTGAGCTGGAATAAAAACATTCTCCTGATTCTTGGTCTTTGAGACTGTGCCTCAGAATTAAGATCTTTTTTCCTAAAGATAATATCATTCCTCGATTACCATTGGTTTTCTTTTTTGAAGGTGAAACTGATCAGTAAATAAGCTGATATTATTTACATAACATGAAACTATGAAGGGGATCACAACATAGCACCCCAAAATATTTGTGCTACTTTGTCATTGTCTTGGTCCCTTTGGGCTGCTATATTGAAAAAACATAGCCTGGGTGGCGTATAAACAACAAACATTTATTTCTCACAGTTCCAGAAGCTGAGAAATCCACAATCAGGGCTCCCACAGATTTGGCGTCTGGTGAGAGCCCTCTTCCTAGACGGCTGCCTTTTCATTGTTCCTCAGATGGTGGAAAGGGCAAGGGAGCTCACTGGGGTCTCTCTTATAAAGGCATCGATCCCATTCATGAGGCTCCATCCCTATGACCTAACCGCCCCCCAGCCCCGACTCCTAACACCATCACACTGGGGCTAGGTCTCCACAGGTGAATTTTGAGAAGACACACACACTTAGACCATAGCAGGCACATTGATTATTTTGAGCTGAAGGCAACTGAGAAACAGCAGAGGCAGGAGGGGCTCTCTGCGTTCCTCCTTTCTACTTACAAGTGGGGCATAAATTTCCTGTGAGAAATGTGCCCTCCCTTATAACTTATCTCCTGGGACAGGGAGTTGACGCTGAGATGAGTCAGCACAAACAAACCTACTGAAACAACCCTTATCTTCCGTTAGTTTCCCCCATATATTTCCTAGTCACTTTCCCACAATTTACCAACCTTAGCCGAAACCACTTTTTCCTTTGTCTTGTCACAGCCCATAATTTATCATTCTTTGTTAAAATGGTGTATCAGCTCTGAGGCCTATCTGTTTCTTTGGGTCTTCGTTTCTTATGTATGAAGGCCACCATGTACACTTAAAAATGTTAACATGAAATAAAATTTGACACAGAACCTAAGAAAATAGAGGAAAACCCTTTCCTTCAGGACACCATATAGTTGTCCCCCCTTCTCCACAGTTTCGAGTTCCATGGTTTCAGTTACCCGTGGCCAACCACGGTCCAAAAATAGTAAATGGAAAATTCCAGAAACAAACAATTCATAAGTTTTAAATTGTGTGCCATTCTGAGTAGCGTGATGAGATCTCACACCGTCAGGCTCTGTCCCACCCTGGATGTGAATCATTGTCCAGCATATCAACACAGTACACGCTGCCCGCCCATCAGTCACTTAATAGTCATCTCTGTTGTCAGATCAACTGTCTCAGCATCCCCATGCTTGTGTTCAAAGAACCCTTATTTTACTTAATAACAGCCCCAAAGTGCAAGAGTAGTGATGCTGGCAATTCGGATATGCCAAAGAGAAGCAGTAAGGTGCTTCCGTTAAGTGAAAAGGTGAAAGTTCTCGACTTAATAAGGAAAGGAAAAAAATCATATGCTGAGGTTGCTAAGATCTACGGTAACTTTTATTACTGTATGTTGTTATAATTGTTCTATTTTATTATTAGTTATTGTTGTTAATCTCTTACTGTGCCTAATTTATAAGTCAAACTTTATCTTAGGTATGTATGTATAGGAAAAAACAGACTACATAAGGGTTCAATACTATCCATTGTTTCAGGTATCCACTGGGGGTCGTGGAACATATTCCCTGTGGATAAGGGGGAACTACTGTATATAATATGTTAAAGTATTCCAAAATACTTAAGGAAGCTTGTCTTAGAAAATGTATTTTTAGGGGCCACCCCAGTGGTGCAGTGGTTAAGTGCGTGCGCTCCGCTTCGGGGGCCAGGGGTTCACAGGTTCGGATCCCGGGCATGCACCAACGTGCCGCTTGTCAGGCCCTGCTGTGGTGGTGTCCCATATAAAGTAGAGGAATGGGCACAGATGTTAGCTCAGGGCGGATCTTCCTCAGCAAAAAGAGGAGGATTGGCATTGGATGTTAGCTCAGGGCTGATCTTCCTCACAAAAAAAAAAAAAGAAAAGAAAAGAAAGAAAGAAAATGTATTTTTAAATTTTTAAGGGAAAATTTCTTAAGATAAATATTTTTTTTCCTTATTACAAAAGCGATATTTATTCTCTATGGAAAAATTAGAAAATACAGATAAAATAGGAAACAGAAAGTGTAAACATTCATAATCTCATCACCCAGCAATAATCCTGTGAGTTAACATCTCAGTGTTGATTTTTTTCTATTTGCCCCATTTTCCCTCCTGCAAACCCATAGCATTTATTGCCTGTTTCTCTGGAGTGTTCTTACCATTTACTGCTCTGGTGGGTTCTGACTTGTTTCCAAATCTTATCTCCAATTGGTATATCTCTGCTTGGAGAACAGGGATTGTGTCTAACTGGTCTTTGTAACTTCCCTGGAGTGTGGGATAGGCTTGGTCTGAACTAAAGGCCTGTGAGACAGAATACCCGAGTTTGAACCCAGCACCACCATTTCTGGAAATTACCTGACCTCTCTGAACTGTGGATTCCTCATTTGTAAAATGGGATCATGTTAGTGCCTACTTAAAGAGGAAACCCTTACAAATTCCTTTGCACAGAGTCCAGCATGTATAATGCACAATAATTGTTTGCTATGATTACCTGTTAGCATAGTGCTTTCATTCATCAATTCAATATATATTTACAGCATGCCTATTATGTGCCATACA